TGGTTGGTTTTAAAGATGGAAGAAATTACAGCAGCTTTATATATTGACAGGAAGACTCTAGTAGTAAAGAGGAAATTATGATGCAGAAGACAAGGGGAAGAGACGCTGAAGGCAATGTCTTTGAGTAGGTGGAAGGGAACTGGATCTAGCTGCAAGTCAGAGCAGACCTAAGACAGAATAAATGGTTTATCCATATTAACAAGAATTAAGATACACAGGTAGGTAGGTAGATACGATGGTAGGAGCTTGGGGAAGCTCCCTTTTGACTACTTGTCTTTTCGGTGATATAGGAAGCATTGTCACCAACTGGTGAGTATGAGGGAAAACCTAGAGGAAGTTTGAGGAGAATAAAGAAATAATTATCTAGGAAAGTCTTCATTCTTATTTAGTTGTTTTTTACTTGAAATGCCTGCCATCTATCCTATTTGAAATAGTTGGTCCAAATTTAATTGTTTTTTCCCCCCAGAAATCAAAATCTATCTCAATCAGGCTCACTTCTTACATTCAGTTCTCTTCATTTTTATAGGTCCCTGCTCATTTAGAAAACTTAGAGAATTTGTCCTCCCAATTGTGATTTCACAAACTTGTAAATTCAGGCAAACTCTTAGATTCTAGGCTTCTTTCCAAAATACATCCAACAATTCAAACAGGATTTACCACACTACCATCAGTAAGGGTCATGAGACTCAGGCTTCCTCCCTGGTAGCTGCTAGCTATCCCAGGATTCTCTAACCCTGCAAAAATAAATCATTAACTCTGTTTACATTGACCAAATTACAATGTAAAAACATACTCATACTCAGGTGAGACTTATGTTCAGAGACTGAACTTAGAGGAAGAAGACTTAAAAGCTGCTTAATCCTATGTAAGATTTAATCCATCATCATTTCACTACTAACTTGATGTCAGACAAGTCAATTCACCTATCTCAGATAAACAAACTAAAAAAATAGAACAAGCAAAAAACTTGTTGTACGAGACCAAACAAATAAGAACCAATACAACTTATCCTAGAAGTAGAAGGTTGGTCTGACATCTGAAAATCAATTAATGTAATACATCTTATTAAATAGGAAAAAAAGACAAAAAACATACAATAATCCTAATAGATGCAAAAAACATTTCACAAAACTAAACAACTTTTCATGATAAAAACTCAATAAATTAGTAACAGAAGGTAACTTCCCCAAACTAATAAAGGGCATTCAGGAGCCCTTTATTAAAAGCCTTTACTGGGGCGCCTGGGTGGCTCAGTGGGGAAAGCATCCGACTCTTGATTTCAGCTCAGGTCATGATCTCAGGGTTGTGAGATCAAGTCCCGTGTCAGGCTCTGTGCTGGGCACAGAGCCTGCTTAAGATCCTCTCTCTCTCTCTCTCTCTCTCTCTCTCCCTGTGATGCTCACCCCTCACCAACCCCCCTGCCCTGCTCATGCACTCTCAATCTCTCAAAAAAAAAAAAAGGAAAACCCACAGCTAACATCATACATAATGATGAAAGACCAAATGCTTTCCCCCTAAGATCAGAAACAAGACAAGAGTGTCACTCATCATTCCTATTCAACACAGTACTGGATGTTCTACCCAGGTCAATTAGACAAGAAAAAGGCATTCACATAGAGGGAAAAAACTGTCTCTCTCTATATAAAAAGAATCCCAAGAAACCCCCTAAAAAACTATTAGAAGTAAAATAGAGTTCAGAAAGGTTGCAGAATACAAAATCAATATACAAAAATCAATTACATTTCTATACACTTGCAACAAACAATCTGAAAATAAAATTAACAAAACAATTTTATTTAAAACAGCATCGAAAAGAATAAAATACTTTGGAATAAATTTAACAAAGTAAATACAAACTTTATGCTCTGAAAACTATAGGACATTGTTGAAAGAAATTAAAGAAGACTTAAATGAATGTAAAGATATCCTGTGTTCATGAATCACAAGACAATAGCTCTCAAATTGATCTGTAGATTCAATGCAATCCCTATAAAAAATCTCAGCTAGCTTTTTTGCAGGAGATAATCTTAAAATTCTTATGAAAAACCAGTAATAAAACCACTTATTGAAAAAAAAATTCTTATGAAAAATGCAAGGGTCTCAGAATAGCAAAACAATCTTAAAAAAGAAAAAAGTCGGAGGACTCATACTTCCCAACTTCATAACTTACTACAAAGCTACATTAATCAAGACAGATTGGGGACACCTGCGTGGCTCAGTCAGGTCAGAGTCTGCCTCCGGCTCAGGTCATGATCCCAGGGTCCTGGGATCAAGTCCCACATCGGGCTCCCTGCTCAGCAGGGAGTCTGCTTTTCCCTCTGCCTGTCGCTTCCCTTGCTTGCGCATGTTCTCTCTCTGACAAATGAATAAATAAAACCTTAAAAAAAAAGACAGATTGTACTGATATAATGATAAACATAGATTAACAGAACAGAACTGAGAGTTCAGAAATAAACCCCTACATCAGGAGTCCACTAATTTTTGACAAGAGTGTCACATCAATTCAATAGGACAAATAATAGTTTTTTGAACAAATGGTGTTGGGACAACAGAGTATCTTCATGCAAAAGAATGAAGTTGGATCCTTGCCTAACACCATACACAAAAATTAACTCAAAATAAATCACAGACCTAAATGTAAGAGCTAAAACTAAAAAACTCTTAGAAGAACACACAGGAGTATATTAGGATTAGGTAGTGGATTAGGTAATAGTTAAAGCAACAAAAGAAAAAGTAGATGAACTGGAGTTCATCAAAATTAAAATCTTCTGTGCTGCAAAGGAAATCATCAAAAAAGTGAAAAAACAATCTCCAGAATGGGAGAAAAATCTTTGCTAACCGTATGTCTGATAAGGGGCCTGTTTGTAGAATATACTAACACTCGTAACTCAATAATCAAAAGATAAATAACCCAATTACAAAATGGGCAAAGGATCTGAAAAGAATGTTCTCCAAAGAAGATATACAAATGGCTGATAAGCACATGAAAAGATGCTCAAATTATTAGCTATTGGGAAAATGCAAATTAAAACCACAGTGAGATACCACTTCACACCCAGGCGGATGGCCATAATCGAAGAGACAGATAAGTACACGTGTTGGTAAATGTGAAGAAATCTGAACCCTTATACACCATAGGTAGGAATATAAAATGGTGCAGCCATTTTGGAAAACATTTCTGTTCCTCAAAAGGTTCAACAAAGAGGGACGCCTGTGTGGCTCAGTCAGTTAAGCGCCTGCCTTCGGCTCAGGTCATGATCCCAGGGTCCTGGGATTGAGCCCCACGTCGGGCTCCCTGCTCATCGGGGAGCCTGCTTCTCCCTCTCCCTCTGCCCACCGCTCCCCCAGCTTGTGCTCTCTCTGACAAATAAAGAAAATCTTTAAAAAAAAAAAAAGATTCAACAAAGACCTACCATATGACCCAGCATATTCACTCCTAAGTATATGCCCAAGAGAAATGAAAACATATGTCCACAAAAAAATTGTCAATAAATATTCATCGCAGCATTATTCATAATAGCCAATTACTAGAAACAGCCCAAATGTTCAACTGATGAATGAGTAAATAAAATGTGGTATCCATAGAGTGAAGTATTAGTGGGCAACAAAAAGCAGTGAAGTATTGATACATGCTACAACATGGAAAAATCTTAAAAACATTATACTAAACAAAAGATTCCAGTCACAAAAAACTATATATTGTATGATTCCATTTATATGATAAGTCCAGAATAGACAAATCTACAGAGACCAAAAGTAGGTTGGTGATTGCCTAAAGCTGAGCAAGGACAGAATGGAAAGTGTATGGTATGGAATAGGTATGGAATTTTTCTTCTTAAAATTTTTAATTGTGGTTAAAAAAAGCCACATAAACTAAAATTTACCACTGTAATTATGTATAAGTGTACAGTTCAGTAATATTAAGTAGATTCACATTATTGTAAAATCGATCTCCAGAACTTTTTCATATTGCAAAACTGAAACTCTATCCTTTAAACAACTTCCCATTTCCTCCTCCCCCCAGACCCTGGCAATGACTATTCTACTTTCTGTCTCTGTGAATTTGACTACTCTAGGTTCTCATGTAAGTGGCATCATACTATATTTGTCTTTTTGTGACTTTACTTCACTCAGCAGAATGAACTTAGTGCTCATCCGTATTATAGCACGTGATAGTATTTCTTTCCTTTTTAAGGCTGAGTAATATGCCATTGTATATTTATATACATACCACATTTTGTTTATACATTCATCTGTAGGCTCAGCAACTGGGTTGCTTCCACTTCTCTGCTATTGTGAATAATGTTGCCATGAACATGGTATGCAAATATCTGTTCAAGAACCTACTTCCAATTATTTTAGATACATACCCAAAAGTGGAATTGCTGGATTATGGAGGCATCTCCTTAGAATGACAAAATTATTCTAAAATTTGACAGTGGTGATAGTTGCACAATCCTAGAATATACTAAAAACCACTGAATCGTACACTTCAAATGCGTAAATCATATGGTATATAAATTATATCTTGATAAAACTGTTTAAAAAATACAACTCTTAAATAAGGCTGAATCATGTATATAATTACTTAAAGATTTTGACTGAACTAGATTATTAATCTAGTTAAATAACCAGTCAATCTTGTCATACAGGTAATTTTGGCTCTTATTTTCGATGACCTGACTAGATATTTAGTTTTTTGAGACGTAACCTAAGTGCTTCTTCAACTCTGATCCATTAGAGAAAAGCAAGAAAAAGGAATTCTCAGTATCTTTAATCCAATACTAAACTTCTTCATATTTTGTGTCAGAAAATACTGTGAAGAAATAACAAATTCATACTAATACTAACTATAGCAATTTTTATTTCACCTGCTTTGTAGCTATGCCATTCACCAGATTTTTAAAAGACAGGGATAAATAAGGCAGGACTTGATTACTCACTTTGACTTCAGATTTACTTTTTGAAATGTCACTCACAATGATTTCACATAGAAGATGCTCAAAAGACAGAAGGTTTATTCACTTTATTTTTGCAATACAAAATTATAAAATTAAAAAGTCCTAAGTCCAATGTCACTGAATGGGGAAAGAGGTAATAAGTTAAAAAACCAGGAAAGAAAAATCTTGAGAAAAAAAATGTGCATCAAATTCAGATTCTTCTCACCTCTAACTGTTATACACAACTAGAAAAGCTATCAGCAATACAGATGGCCACTGATACTTAGAAACTCATTTCATCATCTTTTTGGCTTTATCTAGACATTTTCAATCTTGTCAAGATTCAAAGATACAGTTTTAGAAAGATAATAAATGAGATAATCTCAAAGATTTCTCATGATCTCCTCTGATCAGAGCAGAGCTAAGTAAAAAAAACCTTACTGGTCTGACTGATCATTTTTAAAACAATAGACTCTATATAGTTCACAGCAAAAACACAAGTTTAGAGGTCGACTTTCAATTTCAGTCCAAGCAGAGACTGAAACAATGGTTATGATCTAATTATAGAGATGGTTGTCACGTTGGGACAGTCCTTCTTTCCAGGTTACACGTCTTATACATTTTAACAGTTTTCCTAAATAATCTCTCAGGGTTGATTTTAAGTGAAGACTGAAATACTAACAATTGGATTCGGATTCTCATTATAGATTTTTCAAAGTCCGTCTGTGTGCAGAAGCCAAATTATGCATGGCAACTCGAACAGTTGAGGTCCCCTCCGGGATATCACAGGAATTGATGACCGAATGTAGTGCCCGGGTATATGCTGCAAATAAAGGTTTGCACAGTGATGAATGAAGTCAGATTCTAAACTACTCACTCTCCCAACCTCCTTCCCATTAGTACTGCTTCTCTACAAGTCTCATAGGTATTAACTTTGCCTATTCATTGAATAAATATTTATTGAGTACTTAGTACATGCCAAGCACTCCATGAGGACATGTTAAGTAACACTAAAGTATTTGGATAATAGGGAATTCAACTGGACAGAGGCCTAACTTAGATGGCCATAAAACACAAGTTCTAATTTCTTCATTTATAGGAGGACCTGGAAGCCAAGTCCCCCTACAGTGGAGTAGAAATATTTCCCCAGCATTAATGGAGACAGAAGATAGCAGATCTCAAAAAAGATTATAACTCACTATAATTGTTTTTATTGTCTCAGAGTTGTTTTGTAAATGAGTTATAACAATCTCTGATATACAGTAAACACCCAATAAATGCTAACTTGCTATAATCACTACATTTATTGTTTGGTTTTTTTTTTTTTTTAATTGCCACCAGGCCCCAACCATTCCTTTAAGAAGCTTACCTCTATGGTTTTTATAGAAAATACAATTGTTGGCACAGGTATCAGGATGAGCATCCCAAAAATCAGGACCACAGCAGCATAGTGGAGGTAAAGTAATATTATACAGCCTCATTTTCTCCTGGATCTGGGCTCGCAGAGCTTCTATATATCTATAAAGATACAGTATGATCAGGGGAAGTTAACCTCTAGGAAGAGGATGAGCATGAGTCCCTCTTTGACTACCAGCTGTAACCGTTAAAACTATTTCCCATCTCCCTGCCTCAACTCTTCCTCTTTTCTGATACACAGCAGAGTTCTGTGTACCTATTTGAGGAAATAACCTGAGGCTAGGGACAGAATCATCAAAATGGGTAAGAAGGGACAGTGCCTTATGCTCATACAGAGCTGGGAATAGTGCCTGTTCCCACCAATCAAACTTGAAAAACTCGTAACACACAGGGCATTGGGTAGAGTTTTCAGGATGATCTTATCTCCACAGTGGGGAATAATGATTAGTCTTTAACTGAGCACTGTTCCAGACACAACCTAATAAATTATAAAAGCTCCCAAAGTAATTTAACTGTACCCCAAAAGCTCAGAAAAATTTATAAGAACACGAAGCTACCCAGCAACCAACAAGGTAAAATTCACAATGTTTGACATCTAATCAAAGATTACCAAGGATGCAAAGCAGCAAGAAAACATACTCATAATGAAGAGACTAACCAATCAAAACCAACCTAGAACTGAGTTATTAGAATTAGCACAGGAAAACATTAGAACAGTTATTATGTCTACATTTTATATATTCAAATAGTTAAGATATAAAAAAGATAAGTCAAACTTCTTGAGATGAAAACTACAATTTCTGAAATGAAAAATACACTGGAGAACAAACCTATATCTAATGGAATCAATAACTAATAACCTTTCAAAACAGAAAGCACCAGGCCCACATGGGTTCACCAAATAATCATGGAAGAAATTATACCAATTCTCTGCAATCTTCTCTCAGAGGACAGAAACAGAAAGAATAACTCTTAACTCATTCTATGAGGCCAGCACCACCCTAATACCAAAACCAGACAAAGATATTACAGGAAAAGAAAACTAGAGGGGCACCTGGGTGGTTCAGTCAGTTAAGTACCCACCTTCAGCTCAGGTAGTGATCTCAGAGTCCTGGGATCAAGCAACACGTTGGGCTCCCTGCTTGGAAGGGAGTCTGCTTGTCCCTCTCTGCCCTCCCCCTGCTTATGCTCTCTCTGTCGGTCTCTCAAATAAATAAATAAAATATTAAAAAACCACCACAACTAAGAAAGGGGAACCCTCCTACACTGTTGATGGGAATGCAAGCTGGTGCAACCACTCTGGAAAACCGTATGGAGGTTCCTCAAACAGTTGAAATTAGAGCTACCGTTCGATCCAGCAATTGCACTACTGGGTATTTACCACAAAGATACAAATGTAGGGACCCGAAGGGGTACGTGTACCCCAATGTTTATAGCAGCAATGTCCACAATAGCCAAACTGTGGAAAGAGCCAAGATGCCCATCAACAGATGAATGGATAAAGAAGATGTGGTATATATACACAATGGAATATTATGCAGCCATCAAAAGGAATGAGATCTTGCCATTTGCAACGACGTGGATGGAACTGGAGGGTGTTATGCTGAGTGAAATAAGTCAATCAGAGAAAGACCTGTATCACATGACCTCACTGATATGAGGAATTCTTAATCTCAGGAAACAAACTGAGGATTACTGGAGTGGTTGGGGGTGGGAGGGATGGGGTGGCTGGGTGATAGACACTGGGGAGGGTATGTGCTACGGTGAGCGCTGTGAATTGTGCAAGACTGTTGAATCACAGATCTGTACTTCTGAAACAAATAATGCAACATATTTTAAGAAAAAAGAAAAAGAAGAAGATAACAGGAGAGGAAGAAAAGGGGAGTATGTCAGAGGGGGAGACGAACCATGAGAGATGATGGACTCTGAAAAACAAACTGAGGGTTCTAGAGGGGAGGAGGGTAGGGGGATGGGTTAGCCTGGTGATGGGTATTAAAGAGGGCACGTTCTGCATGGAGCACTGGGTGTTATGAACAAACAATGAATCATGGAACACTGCACCAAAAACTAATGATGTAATATATGGTGATTAACATAACAATAAAAAAATAAAAAAAAAACCACCACAACTAGAGACCAATATTTCTCATGAACACAAAGACAAAAATCCTCAAAAATGTTAGCACATCAAAACTAACAATATATAAAAAGAATTATATGCCAAGACCAAGTGGGATTTATCCCAGGAATGCAAGGCTAGTTCAACATGAAAAAAAAATCAATTAATGTAATCTATCACATCAACAGGTTAAATAAGAAAAATCACATGACCCTATAAATATATGTAGAAAAAGCATTTGACAAAATCCAACACCATTTATGATATGCCTGGTAAACTAGAAATAAAAGGAACTTCCTAAACTTGATAGAGAGTATCTACAAAAAACCTACAGCTAAGATCATACTCAAAGGAGAGAAACTAGACACTTGCCCACTAGGATCACGAATAAGGCAAGATAGTCTCCTCACCATTCGTTTTCAACATGGTACTGAAAGTCTTAGATAATGCAATAAGACAAGAAAAGGAAATAAAAGATAAACAAACTGGGAAGGAAAATAAAGCTGTGTTTGTTTCCAGATGATTTGACAGTCTATGTTCTTCCCAACCTGATTTATAGAATCAATGCAATCCCCCAAAAATCCCAAGAAGTTATTTTGTAGATAGTGACAAAGTGATTCTAAAGTTTATATGGTGAGGCAAAATTCCCAGAATACCTAAGATAATATTGAGGGGAAAAAACAAAGTTAGAAGATACATTCTACTCAACTTCAAGACTTATTACAAAGCTACAGTAATCGAGACAGTATGGTATTGGTGGGAGAATAGACAAATAGAATAGAATGGAACAGAGAGCCCAGAAATAGACCCATCTTGGGGCGCCTGGGTGGCTCAGTAGTTAAGCGTCTGCCTTCGGCTCAGGTCATGATCCCAGGGTCCTGGGATGGAGCCCCACATCGGATTCCCTGCTCAGTGGGAACCCTGCTTGTCCCTCTCCCACTCCCCCTGCTTGTGTTCCCTCTCTCACTGTCTCTCTGTCAAATAAATAAAATCTTTTAAAAAAAAAAGACCCATCTTTTTAAAAAAATTTTTTATTGTTATGTTAATCACCATACATTACATCATTAGTTTTGGATGTAGTGTTCCATGATTCATTGTTTGTGCATAACACCCAGTGCTCCATGCAGAATGTGCCCTCTTTAATACCCATCACCAGGCTAACCCATCCCACCACCCTCCTCCCCTCTAGAACCCTCAGTTTGTTTTTCAGAGTCCATCGTCTCTCATGGTATGTCTCCCCCTCCAACTTACTCCCCTTCATTCTTCCCGTCCTGCTATCTTCTTTTTTTTTTTTTAACATATGTTGCATTATTTGTTTCAGAAGTACAGATCTGTGATTCAACAGTCTTGCACAATTCACAGCACTCACCATAGCACATACCCTACCCAATGTCTATCACCCAGCCACCCCATCCCTCCCACCCCCCACCACTCCAGCAACACTCAGTTTATTTCCTGAGATTAAGAATTCCTCATATCAGTGAGGTCATATGATACATGTCTTTCTCTGACTGACTTATTTCACTCAGCACAACACCCTCCAGTTCCATCCACGTTGTTGCAAACGGCAAGATCTCATTCCTTTTGATGGCTGCATGATATTCCATTGTGTATATATACCACCTCTTCTTTATCCATTCATCTCTTGATGGACATCGTGGCTCTTTCCACAGTTTGGCTATTGTGGACATTGCTGCTATAAACATTGGGGTGCACGTACCCCTTCGGATCCCTACATTTGCATCTTTGTGGTAAATACCCAGTAGTGCAATTGCTGGATCATATGGTAGTTCTATTTTCAACTGTTTGAGGAACCTCCATATTGTTTTCCAGAGTGGTTGCACTAGCTTGCATTCCCACCAACAGTGTAGGAGGGTTCCCCTTTCTCCGCATCCCCGCCAACATCTGTCGTTTCCTGACTTGTTAATTTTCACCATTCTGACTGGTGTGAGGTGGTTATCTCATTGAGGTTTTGATTTGGATTTCCCTGATGCCGAGCGATGTTGAGCACTTTTTCACGTGTCTGTTGGCCATTTGGATGTCTTCTTTGGAAAAATGTCTGTTCATGTCTTCTGCCCATTTCTTTGATTGGATTATTTGTTCTTTAGGTGTTGAGTTTGATAAGTTCTTTATAGATCTTGGATACTAACCCTTTATCTGATATGTCATTTGCAAATATTTTCCCCCATTCTGTTGGTTGTCTTTTGGTTTTGTGGACTGTTTCTTTTGCTGTGCCTTCAACAATGGTGTCTTCAACACCATTTGTTGAAGAGAGTGTCTTTTTTCCATTAGACATTCTTTCCTGCTTTGTCGAAGAAGAGCTGACCATAGAGTTGAGGGTCCATTTCTGGGCTCTCTATTCTATTCCATTGAACTATGTGTCTGTTTTTGTGCCAGTACCATACTGTCTTGATGATGACAGCTTTGTAATAGAGCCGGAAGTCCGGAATTGTGATGCCGCCAGCTTTGCTTTTCTTTTTCAATATTCCTCTGGCTATTCGGGATCTCTTCTGCTTCCATACAAATTTTAGGATTATTTGTTCCATTTCTTTGAAAAAAGTGGATGGTATTTTGATGGGGATTGCATTGAATGTGTAGATTGCTCTAGGTAGCATTGACATCTTCACAATGTTGGTTCTCCCAATCCATGAGCATGGAACGCTTTTCCATTTCTTTGTGTCTTCTTCAATTTCTTTCATGAGTATTTCATAGTTTTCTGAGTACAGATCCTTTGCCTCTTTGGTTAAATTTATTCCTAGGTATCTCATGGTTTTGGGTGCAATTGTAAATGGGATCGACTCCTTGATTTGTCTCTCTTCTGTCTTGTTGTTGGTGTATAGAAATGCCACTGATTTCTGTGCATTGATTTTATATCCTGCCACTTTACTGAATTCCTGTATGAGTTCTAGCAGTTTTGGGGTGGAGTCTTTTGGGTTTTCCACATACAGTATCATATCACCTGCAAAGAGTGAGAGTTTG